CACATGTAGCTTACCACACGATTAGACGGTCAACCTAGAGTGTAATTTGAGTTTCTGTGAATATTTCAACAATTTTAGATGTCAGGTTATTTACTGAAACGGCATATTGTCCATATTTCCTGCGTAAACTGCACATATTGTGATGAACGTTCGCGGTTGGTAGGAGGGCAGCAAACCGCAATGCAATTTTTCCCCAACATTGGCAATGAACCCTCGCTTTAGATTACGGGCTTTTTTAATACAAAGGAGTAATTTACATTCAGCGAGGAAGTGATTTACCATATATCGCTACGGAAATGTTGACGGAAGTCTGAACAATATGTCCTAGCACCCCCGAAAATAGTATGGTCCTGTGTCTACATTAACATAATCTATGCCAGGATGTAATAATCACTATTTGATACTCCTAATTAATAAACGTGTGGAACATTGCATGCAAAACAAACAAAATTTTCTCAAAGTGTAAAGTATATTATGTTTTAATAGGTTTAAAATAAATTTAGTTGCCTAGAATGGTAAATAGAAATATACCGCCATAATAAAAATGGGAGCATCCACATTAAAGCAAAATGAATGTCGCTTCGCCAGCCACCAAAAAACTTCGCGAAGTACACACAGAAAAAACAAAGTGCCCATAGAAAATACAAAGTACCCATAGAAAATACAAAGTGCCCATAGAAAATACAAAGTGCCCATAGAAAATACAAAGTGCCCATAGAAAATACAAAGTGCCCATAGAAAATACAAAGTGGAATAAAAAATGCTAAGTGTACCTATGGGCCTTCCTACTACTTACTATTAGTGTATTCTCTTATCAATCGATCAATCAAAAATGGTTTATTGCTAAAAATCACGAACATGGCGACAGAAAGCTGAATTGCGTTCAAAGATGTACATTCACTTTAACCCTATCTAGACCGGGCTTTTTTGGGCTTGGTGGGACCGGGGGGGGCTCATTCGCCCCCCCCCCTCAGAACTCGAGAACGGTATATCGTAGGACCACCAAATTTTCAGAGGATGATGTACTAGTAAAAATTTATCATACGTGCAATTTTTATGTCGTTGTGACGTAATATGACGTCATTATGACGTCATTAATGTGATTTTATTGGCCCAAACCGTCTTGATAGGTTATTCCCTGAAAACTAAACAGTATACGAGATAACGACTAACGTAACGTAACGACTACACAATCTCGGAGTCAAATTGTGGTAGTAGAAATGCACCTTGAAAAATATTTACACGACATTATGTACATTTGCTAATTCAAATTTTGCTAATCTCATTCACATTTCTACATATAAAAATTACATTAAACTATTCCATACACAAATTGCACAAGGTATATTAGAGACATTCACAAACTTAAGAGCAATATCATTTCGTTTCGTTCAACAGTCTTAAGAGGGACGGTAGAGTTTCTGAGTTCACGTCGCGTTCACTGTCCCCTAGTTGGTGGTAGCAGGTCAGTGGTTCTCTCTGACTTCTCTATGCTGACTGCACACTTACGGCACAGGTTGACTCTCCTGCTTTTCAGCGTCTCAAGACCACACTGCTGTAGAGCTCATGCATGTAGCCAGGATTTTGAACGGGGGGTTCTTCCCACTGCTTGAGAGGACCTCGAGCGCCGAAGGCGCGAGGTTCCTAGGGGGATCCGGGGGCATGCTCTCCCGGAAAATTTTGAAAAATGAACCTTCTAAAATGGAATTTCGTGCATTTTTGAGAGGATTTTCAAGAAAAAAATCAGAGATAAATTTTTTATTCAATGACAAAGAGAGCAGTTTTTCTACGATTCCAGTCCACCTTTTCAAGAAAAATCTTGGACCTTTATATAAAAAGTGGACCAAAAAGTGGACCTTTAGATAAAAAGTGGAAGAAAAGTGGACCTTTGAGCCTTGTGGGGGGGGGGTCTGGCTACGGGCATGGGGCTGATGTATTGTTAGTATAGTCCTTTGCAAGGATGGTACGACAGGCACGATTTTGTACTTGTTCGATGGTTGCTGTCTGTTTGGCGGGTAAGACTGTGGTGCCATACCGGTGAGCAGTACTCCAAGACAGGTCTGATAAATCCACAGTAGACAGTTACAGAAAGACAGAAAGTTCTCAGCTTTTGCAGCATGAAAAGCCATAACCCTAGCACTTTTACAACATCCATTTAACCCTATTCATACGGGGGGGGCTTTTGAGGCCCGCGCCCACGTTCATCTCAAATAGCGCCTGAACGGCTTGAGCAAGAACAGTGAAATTTGGTGACTTTTCCTAAAAAAATATCTGGGAAGAACAATTTTATATTAATTAGATGTGTTCCAATTTTTTTTTGCGTTGCCATGGCAACGGGTTTCTGACAGGCAGTTTTTGGAAAAATCAGTAATTTTGGTTCAAACATAAAATTTTTCTAGGTTTTATATTTAATTAAGCTTCCTTTTTAACATTAATAACATCCTATATAATGATATATAATTTCTGTCATTAAATATTCATAATTTATGCTAATTTGATGACGTCATCGGTCAACATTCAATATGGTGGACCATATAATTAGCTGTTGTGCAACTATGTTTTTTTCACTAATTTTTCGTCATAATTCCCTGTTTTTTTTCACATAAAACGTCCATATGAGCATCTTTAGTCCATTTGCGTTGCGTTTTGAGGCACAATTTTGAAAAAAAAAGCAATTTTCAAAATTCAAGATTTTCGATCCAAGATGGCCGACAGCTTAATTATGCATGACGTCATTTTATGACGCCATTTTGACGTCAGTGTTGTTGCCAAGGGGAACATAAGTATAAGCAGACATTAATATTCCATCATAGACCTTTTTTTAAGTTTGGTTGTATTCCATTAAGGTTTACGGAAAAAACAATTTTTGACGGTTTTACCCCCAAAAAAGCATATAAATGACGTCATAATGACGTCATATGACGTTACAATTACACAAAAATTGTTATAATGTATTAATTTAATTGCTACATCATTCTCTGAAAATTTGGTGTCCCTACGATGAGTGGTTGTTGAGTTACAGGGAGCGGGCCTCAAAAGCCCCCCCGGTCTGAACATGCCCAAAAAAGCCCGGTCTGAATAGGGTTAAGAACACTTCCATTCAGTATTATGGGCAAGAGTGGAAGAGGGTTCTTCATGAATAACACTGTCAGAGCCATGCACTTGTCCGAGTTGAGCTTTACACCAGCGTTTCTCGACCAGTTCTTGAGAGAGTGTACTTGGTTCTGTTATTGTGACTGTTCTCCCACGTGTCTCTTTTCTTCCAAAGACAAATCGCCTACATACTTCTAACGCTCACTGTGCTGTTGGCTAGCATCGTTGATCATACACAGGAATGTTATGGGCCCAAGCTTTGTGGCTTGCAGAATGGCTTGCATGTGATTCATAGTGTCAAAAGCTTTGCTGAAATCCGCTAGGACAACTGCTCCTATGTTCTTGCTAGTTTCAGCTCCCTTGTGCAGAAAGTGGATCAGACTCACCATGCAGTGTGCCGTGGAGCTTCTCTTTATGCCGCCGAACTGACGTGGCTCAATGTTAGCCGAGATGTCAGATATTGTCCACTTTGCAACAAATCCTTTGCAGATCTTAGCAAATATCGAGGTAAGTGGTATTGGGCGCAGTTTGTCGACTGTTGACAGGCGCTCTTTCGGAGGGAAGGGGGTCTACTACAGCCTCTTTTCACGCACTTGGAACGACTCCTTCTCTACGTGATGTGTTAAATATGTCAGTAAGGGGTTCTAGGAGTTCAAAGGCGAACATTTACACAATCCTGGATACAACACTGTCTGGGCCTCCCGCTTTACGGACTATAATATATCGATGTTACTCAGTTCTCTGAGCTGAGCTGGGACGCAAAGTTCCGTCTTTTCGAACGGTCTCGGACGGGCTTCGCTGCATTGAGTTGCCTCCCTGAC